AACATACTTTTTAATGGCCACAAAGTAATTATTCAAAAGAAGTAGAGAGTATGCAGTTTCAGAGCCACTGGATTGAATCAGGGGGTGTTTACATGACACCGTTTTCAACTAAAAGTGGAAAACATTTCATGTTTTTTGGTCATTTATTTTACACAACAATGGCGTTTTGGGGGCCTGAAAATGCAAATGTTTGAAAATGGGTTTCAAGGTGTACGTTTATGAACACAATACCTTTATCGTCTCTGTGTAAACTACAAAAGTGTGAATTTGTGAAAATGGTGACAATGGGCATGTGTATTACATGATCAATCTATAGGTATGTGAGCAGGCTTAGTGTTTCTTTACAAAGTGACAGCGCCAACTACTGGCCAGAACATACAAAATACAGTGAATATAGTTGTTTTCAGGATCTGTGTGAACAGGGATTGTTTTAAAAAGCGTTGTTGCCCGTACACTAAACTTTTCAAAAGCACAAATGAAAAACATTTGCATTTTTAGTACATCATTGTCATTTAAACCTACCCTCAGTCTGATGAATCTTTCTGATGAATCCTTCACTTGAATGAACTGCACCGAATCAGTCAGAGCATCTACTTAATCAACAAGTGACTCACTCACAGAATTTTAAGTTTGATGCCAGTGCATCATTTATTTAAAATAGCCATTAGCCTGCTCTTAGGCTTACTTGCTGTGCCATCAAGAAAGCAATAATATATTGTCTATCTATAAAATTATTTTAATTTCAGAGCTATATATTTTATGCTATTATCTTAATCTGTATCCTTTACTTCACACTCATGTTTTTTTTTAGCTTAACATATCCTCATTATAATGCAAATTGACAAGTAGGCTTACCCAATGTAGTAAGGAAAATAAAACCGAGACAGAACAGAAAAGGTTTTTTTCTCCTCTCATATTTCACTTCAAAGTGTTTTTTGGTGGGTCTTGTGGTTATATCTCTGTGGGTCCTAGCATGAGAAGTTTGGAACTCCTGGTCCATACAACTCGTGCGATATTTTCCAAATCTTCTGACACCATGCAAATTTTGGGTGATCTATTCCTCCATTCTAAGACATTCTATTTTAATATAAATATAGGGTAACACTTTAGTTTAGGGACCAATTCTCACTATTAACTAGCTGCTTTTTAGCATGCATATTACTAGCATTTTGACTGTTTATTAGTACTTATAAAGCACATATTAATACCTTACTCTGCGTGACCATATATTAGATCCCTTAATCCTACCCTATTCCTAAACTTAACAACTACCTAACTAACTTTTAATAAGCAGCAAATTAGGATTTTTTTAAGGCAAAAGTTGTAGTTAATTAGTTAATAGTGAGAAATGGTCCCTGACCTAAAGTGTAACCAAATAAGCATTTAAATTAGCCAGATATTGTGAAGATACTGTAGATTTGTCATTATTAACCAAATAATGTTTTATATATTTAGAGTAAACCGGAACACTGTGACAAGTATATGTGAACTCAGTGCGGTCAACATATAAAGAGATCCCAAAGTCACAGTCCAGCACACTCCTGTCCTCAACAGCTCTTCTCTGAGTCTCAATAGAACACTCCACACACTCTCTCACTGTGCTTGTCTTGGTTGCCATGGTAATTTCCAATGCCCTGCTTCCAACACATTGCAGACTTTCTAAAAATAATATCTATCTAAATAATAAAATCTGTAGTCTGTATTGTTTTTATTACTATTGCACCTTTTATCTCTCTCTCTCTCTCTCTCACTCACTGTCTCTCAATTTTACACTTTAATTAGCTTTTAGGGCAGATATAGTACAAGTGTCTGTGGCTTCTATTCTTTGGTATTCTTAGAAATATTCATAATTGTACATTTGGAATCATATAAATTTCAAATAGGAACCTCATAAATAAAAAAAACAAAAATACTCAAATGGTGTTATATAGCAGTGGTGGATAAATGCTCATATTTGTGGAGGCATATTTTTGCTTCTTATAAGTGAGGCAGAATGTGCCTATGCTTGACAGTCAGCCTTCTAGACATTTACAATAATGCAGTGTAATTGAATCCACAAACCCAGTGAGCAGCTCTCGCTCCTGGAGTTTTGCTCCATCTCATCCACTCTGACAATGTCACATCAGAGAGTGCAAAGGCGTGAACAGTATTTCTTCATAACCTTCTGATTATTGGAACTGGGACATTGTGAAGAATAACATAAGACAAATGCTCTTTCTTTTTTCTTCAAGCCAGTGTGCCAGTGTTATATAAGGATCATCTTCAAGAAACAGTGTCCTCATGACTTAGAGCTGATATAATAAATGGGATATAATTGAACTTTGTTACATGAACTGATTTAGATTTAACTTTGCAAAACAAAAAAACAAGAGAAGGAAATAATTAGAATTCGACCTGAATCATGTTTTAACTGTCTATATATGTAGTTTATCAATTTATGCATTTTCTGAAAAATGCTTTTTGTTTAACATTGTTATGCTGTGAAAGCACTTTTTCAATCACATAGTTCAATCCAAGGTTTCTCTTCAAGTTTATATCAGTTTTTCATAATGTTTACACTTTTGTACACATATTGGCCTCATCAACTGTTCAACTCTGTTATGTGGACAAAACTGTATACTGACTGCAAATAATGTGGCATGGTGCAATGATATGTGCAAGCCCATTATTAGACCATTTATCAAAAAAATGTACTGTTTTAAAATAAAAGTCCACATGTTTTGAAAGAGAATTGTTTATTCTGATTATAAGAATATGATTTCCAAACTTATTAACAAGGGTTGAAATAATGTTGTGTTTTACGGTTTGGACTTAGGATCATTCAAAAAATAGCTAAATAATTTTTATTCACAGCAAGGCTGAAACTACATATTTAGGATTCATGGTACATTTAAAGGGTTAGTTCACCCAAAAATGAACATTAGCCCATAAATTACTCACCCTCAAGTCATCCTAGGTGTATATGACTTTCTTGTTTCAGACGAATCCAGTCGGAGTTATATTAATATTGTCGTTGATCTTTCAAGCTGTTTAATGCCACTCAGCGGGTGTTGCAGTGCTTCAGTCCAAAAGAAGTTAAATAAAAAGCGCCCATCCAAAAAATAAATCCTCACATGGCTCCGGGGGGTGAACAAAGGCCTCCTGTAACGAATCGATGCGTTTTTGTAAGAAAAATATCCATATTCAAAACGTAATAATCACTTTAATGTAGCTTGTGCTCACTGTTGTCACTGGAAGCAGTTCCGGGAGCAAGACGTATGAGTTCAGCGTTGCGCATGTGCCGGTGAGTCTCGTGAAAACCAACGTTTGTTAACAGGAGAAAAGAAAGGAAAACCAGTCTCCTCTTGGCTTATATCGAAATCCTCTGACATTCCTCTTTGCAAATCCTCATTTTATACTCCTAATTAGTGACCGTTGTTTTGTTTGATTTCTCCCCTGCGCTTCTGCGTTCGTCACTTCTGAGCGGCGCATACGCAAAGCTGACCTTATACATCATCTGCCCGGAGCTGCTTCCGTGTAGGACTGTTGGCGCAAGCTACATTAAAGTGATTATTACGTTTTGAATATGGATATTTTTCTTTTAAAAAACGCATCGATTCGCTACAGGAGGCCTTTGTTCACCCCCCAGAGTGAATGAGCTTTTTATTTAACTTCTTTTGGACTGATGCATGCAACACCCGCTGAGTGGCATTAAACGACTTGAAAGATCAAAGACAATTTATAATATAACTCCGACTGGATTCGTCTGATAGAAGAAAGTCATATACACCTTGGATGACTTGAGGGTGAGTAATTTATGGGCTAATTAAAAATTTTTAGGTGAACTAACCCTTTAAGAATTAGCCATGTAAAACTGTCACTATATGTCCCTTAAAGTTCATAAAGTTCAGCAGTTAACGTTTTCCATATCAAATATATGCCACTGTATGCTGAGATTGACTCCTAATTATTATTAAAAAAATGACAAGGAGATCTATAGAGAGATCAAACATGTTGCAACTCGATTCACAAATTTCCAGCAGATACCCATAAGCAAGATCTTCTTTATTTCTGTCATTTATTACAAATAAGCTTCCAACATATGTTTACATAGAGCCTTGACTGATCCTGATTTAATTGGTGACTGGCAGAGGAAATAGGATGTACAGTGTAATTGAAATATAACTTTTTGGTTACTGAGGAGCCAGGTCATAACATTGCTGTTTAATATCAGCTGCTTCAGTGAGGTAGACATTGAGACAATTCAGTCACAGAATATCAAGAGAAAAAGCACAGAAGCAAACACTACACACACGACACTTCAATGGTCAATAAACATAGCTTATCACAAAGGAACACTTTCACTTGAAAATGTTGTAACCATTGCATCTTCGTAAAAGATTTTCAATACTAATAAGCTAATCATTCCATAAAGACAGACATCTTAGATGTTAATTGGAAAGCCGTTAGGTGGTACACACGTATTCAGAAAAAGAGAACAGTCTTAAAGAGAGAAAAAATTCTATACATTTTACGCAAAAAAAAAAGTATCTTAGTGCACCATTGAGCAATACATAAAATTAAATAATCATTCCACATACACCTAAATATACAGAAAAGATTATATACCTAAAGTAGGTATTGTCATATAAAGTAACATGTAAAATGTAACATACCAGCAGTTTCAATATCTGTGACAGCTCTACGCACTTTGAAATACTTGGCCTGAACCATTTAAATGTAGAAATATCTCTCATATAAAGATAGATAGATAAACATTTCTACAAAGCTATTGAATAGCAGCAAAAAGGTTATCATCGCTTTTAAAGTTTTGCTATAGCTCATAATTATGGCAACAAATATTCTTATCTTAGATAAGAGTGTGTCTGTTCTTAACTTACAAGGTTGTAATAAGCCAACTAATGCAATTTACTATTTAAAAAAAATATTATTCACAAAAATTGCAAACAAAAACTGTGAAATAAAATTCTTATTTATAGCTAACCCCCACTGGACTGGGTCATTTAGCATAAACATTTTTTGACTATCTACAATTGTAAATAGGTGAGCAAATCATCTAGTCACTATGATATAACAGTCACTTTATGTGAAGTAACAATCTACACAAGTCTTTCGTAAGTAAGCCTTGGAGTAGAATGCGTCGAGTATAATCCCATACAATGGAAATGTAAACTTATGACATGGCACACGTTCATAAACTAACAGTCTAAAAAATTCCAAAAGCTATTTCGGATGTAACAGTTCTCGTCATTTACTTTCATCGCCAGAAATACTGTTAATGGTTGAAGAATGTGGCAAACGAAATATTTCACATGAACATTTGGATGGCATCAAAAAAATCATGGCTACTGATTGCTTATTTTCTTTGACACTATCATTTGGACCATACTGCCAAATGTTCATGCTCAGATAACTTACTGAACATCACTAAACTTACAGTAAACTTAAACTTAAACACAGCACAGGCAAGAGTATAGAATTAATTCTGTGTCATTTAGGGTTAAATTGTAGTGGCTTTAAAGGCCTTTATCTAAATTGATTCCAAGAGGCATCAAAATAAAACTTGTTCAAGTTGACCAAGCTCACATGTGCATAGTCAAACCTCTGTTTTACGCTCACATAAAACATCAACACATCAAGACAGTCAGTTAAGATAGCTTGAGGAAATACATTTAGTCATTACTATATGTACTTAGTCATTACTGTATGTACAAAGCAAATTTTGCTTTAGAAGTTTCAACCACAAACTATCTATGCACTCTTAATAAGCTCAACCTCAACCTCATCTACAATCTCAGTCTACAGTTAGACCAAGCTACCAAAGTTAGGACTGTTCAGTGAGCCAAAATACAACTCAGCTGAACTGATTTTCCCAATGGTGGACCCATATCCCAGCCCCTCACTCTTTGAAAGGATTTTTGAGAAGTTAGTTTAAAAATCTGGTGACCTCCAGGGTGTTCCAATGTGAATACCTCCTTCTCAGTTGGACTTATGTTCGCCATTCTTGGCCCAGCCTCTGGTCATGGCTGATACCACGATGCTGTACATATTGAGCCAAGCCTGGCGCAGTGGTGTCGTGTAAGCTGGACCCAGGCTGGACTGAAGCATATAGAGCAGGGACTCTCCAACCACCTAAGGAACATGTGAAAGAACCCAATCAATCAATTAATGCTCTGAAAAATCACTTTGACTCTTCCCGAAGATCACTGTCAATCTCACTGTCATCTTTGATGTTTGAGTGTTATGGCTGCTCTATGTCATTTCAGTCATCGTAACTAAACCATGCAGGCAAAGTGTACTCACAGTAAAGGACTGAGTCTTCACCCCAACTGCCTGGTGCTTCCTGCCCAGGTTCGACAAGAAGTCCTCCAATGAATGTAGGTCATCAAGATGGCTCACAGCTGCATCGATCACTAACATCACCTGGACAGATATAAAACCTCTCTTGAGCTGGGTTTACATTACATTTGAGCCCAAATTAGTCAATAGAAAGAAGCATTATAGAAGTGTTCATTTGCCTAAATCACGGGTGTCCAATACTGGAAGGTCACCTCCTGCAGAGTTTAGCTTCATCCTGTTTTAACACACCTGCTTGAAAGTCTCGCTTGGTCAGGGGTTAGAGCTAAACTCTGCAGGAAGGGGGTCTTCCAGGAGCAGGATCGGACACCCTGGTCCTAAATGAACCATGTGGTTCTATGGTGTAACAAACAACAACCAAACATATCAGTTGATCTTTCGACATATGATGGGAGCAAATGCAGCTTCAGGCAATTTTGCTGTAGGTGAGGGATTAGGATTAAAATGTCCATCTAGACATGCCCCTTACTCTTTGTGAGCAACCAACTTTTCAGTTACCGGCCCATCAACTACTTTACCAACAACGCCACTCCAAGGCTGTTTCTCAGTTCTAAAAATACAAAGAACAGTCTTGCGTTCTCATGAAGACTGGTCTTGCCAGGCTGGATACGAGGACACAAAATGCATCTTTTTGAGAATTGAGATATGATATGATCTTGTTGCTCAACTGACCGCCCCAACACATTTTAAGTAGTGGCCCAATTTAAAGCACAATAATTATTAAACATTTACTTATGTTATTTTTTACATTGTTTTATATATTTTTAATTCACCACTTACATGTGTATAAAGAGTATGTATATTAAATATTCCCTATGCTTTGCCAGTCTTAAGATTCTAGATATGCCAATAAAATGACAATATACTTTCTTCATGTCTGTATGACTTTATTAAAATTATACCAGAAAAATCAGCAAATGTTTACTATCACAAGCCGTCACAAGTTTGCGAACTTGCAGAGGGAATGTCTTGCCTTGAGTTAATTTAAAATTTACTTGAATACCTTCTGCTCGTATCCTCTGTAACTGAAATATTACCTCGTGAACATAACAATTCCATGTGGCACCTTGTTCTTCCCCAGACTCTCCCAGCTGTCCCGGATCAGACCTTTATCTTTTTCAGAGAGTTTCTCCATTGTGACCCTCAGTAATGCTGTGTTCCCCAGTCGTCTTTCAGTCGTGTGGCATCAAAATGTCTTCTTCTGTTTAAAGTAGGACCTCCTGATTTCCCATTTCCAGACTTCCAGAGTTCAGTCTTCAGGTATGACCCCCCTGTGAAGTGCCAACATTGCATATCATTTTCCAAGGACAAATAAGACTTATCAGAGGAGCGTGCATTAGAGACTATAGGTTCAAATATATTTCATTTACAAGTTTACTAGTTGCAATGCATTCACATCAATTTTACTGCAAAGCTTTCCAACCGATGCTTCATGCACTCAACATCTAGAAGAGAATACACCTAACTTAGCCCTGACTTTATGGTCACAATAAACAGTTTGAAGCTGACGTACCGTTCCTTCACTGCTCTAGAAGTGACCTTCTTCTCTCACTGGCTTCGTCTGTCTTTCTCTGGCAGACGAAGGTTTCTGTTTGTTCACTGCGAATATGTATATGTCAAGCCTGCTATCCTTGTGTTTGCACTCTCTCTCTCTTTTCCTCTTTGCTCCCCCCGCTCTCTCACACACATGCAAACACTCACTCACTTTCTCTCTCTTTATCTCTCTCTCTCCCTTCTCTGCTGCATCTAACCTCATAGATGCTGCTTGATGTGCATTCAAACTAGGATGAGGAAACCTTTTTGACAATCTTCCTTTTAAAAAAAGGGGGAACAAAAACTTACAAATATTTCAATGTATGTTCTGTTTTTATTCAGTCACACTGTAACTGTCCTAAATTCTCTCACCCCTGTGATACTGTGTTCAAATGGACAATAAATAAGGACAGAATGGAAATATCTCTAATCTTCATTGCTCGTAGCACATGTTATGAGCCATAGCTCCTCCTACAGGTGAGAGTCTGGCACCTTCAGGCACTCCGCATGCATATATAATCGAAGAACACATTTGAATATACTGTTTTGTAGATAAGTGAAAGAACATAAATACTTAAAGTACTTCTGCTTTTAAATAATGGCAAGGCATCATCAATTAATATAACCAAGCAAACAAGTCCTGCATAAGATATTCATACTCACAGACAGTTAAATCAACTGCGTCACTGCATTCTGCCTAGAAGCATCTCTTCATTCTTTAAATAAAGATTCCATTTAGAACCATTTAAAACCATCAGAGACCATTTCAAGTTCCAAGAAAAACTTTCTCTAGTGCTTTAGAAAACCATATGTGTACTAGTGCGCTATACAGAACCAAAACCATCTGAAGAATATATCAAATCTATAATCTACTACATCTACAGTGTAATATCATTAACTTCTCCATAGAGCCCTATACTTAAATGACTATTGATAAGTATGTTCTTTGCTGAACATAAACTACTGTTCGAAAGTGTTTTTTTTTTTAATGAAATTAATACTTTTATTCAGCAAGGATGAAAGTAACAGTGAAGACATATCACATTTTTTATTTCAAATAAATGCTGTTCTTCTTTTTAAAACCTTCTATTCTTCAAGAAATGGATCACAGTTTCCACAAAGCTATTAGGCAGAACAACAGTTTTTTGACTTTAATAAGAAATGTTTCTTGAGCACCAAATAATCATATTAGAATGGCTGCTGAAAATGCAGCTTTCCGTCACAGACATTAAGATTTTAAAATATGTTGAAATTTATATGTTGAAATGTTGAGTTATTTTAAATTGTAATAATATTTCAAAATATTACTATTCATACTCACAGACAGTTAAATCAACTGCGTCACTGCATTCTGCCTAGAAGCATCTCTTCATTCTTTAAATAAAGATTCCATTTAGAACCATTTAAAACCATCAGAGACCATTTCAAGTTCCAAGAAAAACTTTCTCTAGTGCTTTAGAAAACCATATGTGTACTAGTGCGCTATACAGAACCAAAACCATCTGAAGAATATATCAAATCTATAATCTACTACATCTACAGTGTAATATCATTAACTTCTCCATAGAGCCCTATACTTAAATGACTATTGATAAGTATGTTCTTTGCTGAACATAAACTACTGTTCGAAAGTGTTTTTTTTTTTAATGAAATTAATACTTTTATTCAGCAAGGATGAAAGTAACAGTGAAGACATATCACATTTTTTATTTCAAATAAATGCTGTTCTTCTTTTTAAAACCTTCTATTCTTCAAGAAATGGATCACAGTTTTCCACAAAGCTATTAGGCAGAACAACAGTTTTTTGACTTTAATAAGAAATGTTTCTTGAGCACCAAATAATCATATTAGAATGGCTGCTGAAAATGCAGCTTTCCGTCACAGACATTAAGATTTTAAAATATGTTGAAATTTATATGTTGAAACGTTGAGTTATTTTAAATTGTAATAATATTTCAAAATATTAACATTTTTACTGTATTTTCGATCAAATTATACAGACTTGGGAGACTTCTTTCAAAATGTTAAGAATCTTATCTAACTTTCAAATGGTTGTGTAAGTTACAGAAGCCTATAATGTCAAATAACTATTGAAGAAACTTTATTTTTAAATTTTTAGTTGGCAATTTGACATCCCTTGAACTTGAACATGTTATGAATGAAAGAAATGGATCGCAAAGCACATTTTGAAATGTATCCAGCCACATCATAATATTGTAACCTGTGTATTTAAGTTAAATTAAAACAGTCACCAATGTCCAGATTAACACGCTCAGTTCCTGACATTTTTTTTATTATGGAATCATAGTAAAATCCTCTGATTATTTTATTGTTTTATTCATATTTGCAGGGATTCCCTGAATAATTCGCACCTTATGTCCTACCTGATTCAGAGCTATATCTAGCATGTTATCAACGTACGGGACATTCGGTTGTGACAGCAAGACCCAAAGCACTTGAAGATAGTGTGACAGGAGACAGCACAGTTGCCATGGCGACCTCGCAGGAGCACTTGAACTTTCAGTTATCTGACACTTAAAGCTCAAGATAGAAGCAGTCACTCAAACGTGGCGTTCTGTCCTCCTTAAATGACTTGACTGATGTGTGTGCATGAAACAGACAAGATGGACACTTGGAGTTTGCCAGTCGGCTTTATTGAATCTACATATTTAACAGAGGCAAAATAAAAAATAATTCGGAGAATAATAGCATTAAATTACGTTGACATTTTCAGAACGCAAGGCTGAAGTTTTCTTTTTGTCAAAATAATAAACCCAAATATGAAGTGGTACTGAATTTAGCTAGATGCTAATGCCTACATGCAAAATAAAACTATTTGTATTCAGGAGTGCTGTTGTATCAAGCCACTACTTTATGACGTGATAGCCTATATTTTTTGCAAAATTACAATAAAAATGTATTTCATCAGAATGCATGGCTACTTTTGAATAGTCACTACTGGAGAAGGATACTTTTTGCAAGAATAATGGTGCAATTTCATATCCATATTTATAATTTAGCTCATATTAGTTCATATTTATAATTTTGGAAGCCGTAATTACAACATCAGGTCATTCAAATCAATTTGGTCGAGCAAATTACAAAAAAATTAAATTAATTGAATTAGGTTAATAAATTGCAACAAAATGCAAAAAGGTTTTTTAATTCCTCAAAATTTTTAAAAAGCACATCAATGTGTTCTTGCTTTTATGATCAGAATTGTTACATGCTCTAGTGTAATTGTCCAATATTATCCTATTTTGTATGCAGCTTAGCCAGTCTTACTGTAAATGAAAAAAAGAAGAAGAATTTCATGTATTTTACTGTAAACTACAGACACTGCATCCAAGTGCAGCAGGAAATGTGTTTTACATCTTTGTTTGCACTTTCGATTCCATTGTTCTGAAGTCAAGTGGGGTTTTTTTTGTTAACATATATTTTCATGTTTTATTTTATAGCATAAAATACATCTGTAATACCATACTCATGATTTTTTTAAAGCATTTACAGTACATGTCTTACAAAAAATTAACAAGTGGTTAAATGGGACTGCAAAGGTTGTCTGGGATATTAAACATCATCACACTGAAAGTGTACACTCATCTACTCTAGTCCGCTTTTCTAAAATTGTTGTGTTTATTGTATTCCTGCAAATAAATACTTGTTGGAAACTTAGTGATGACCTTAAAGTCATGCAACTGTGTAGTTTATTTGTAGTTTAACTTTATCTTTTCACTTAGCAATAGTATTTAGGCTTAAAATTCATAAAAGTTGTGTTCATTTGTGAAGATTATCGTGATGAAAACATGTAAGACTCATAAACTTTTGTTGTTCACAGAGCTACATTTCTGCGATAATCCAAAAGCCAATAGAAAAAATCCAGTGTGATGCAAACTTCTAGGTTGGCCTAAAAAATACAGCATCCCTGCAGCATCCCGTCCTCATTGTTTTTTCCACTGACACACCCCAAATCTGAAACTCGATGCTCAAAGAAAATCAAATGTTTCCCCATTTCTACGACTTTGTGGTGATGTTCATATACACACAATCTGTAAATACACTTTTCGAAATGACGCACCAAACTGCTGCCAGATCTTGACCCCCTGACTCTCCCATTACCAGTGCAAGACGTAATTCTACTGTATACTAGTATAAGAAAAGGAACAAAGCCCTACTGTACTTCCACTTAAACCTCATTTATCCATGACAAAAAAAGTATTTCCAAAACAAACTGAATGGGTATCATGAGGTGAAACTGGGCGGTCATTTTCAAATGCGTAGTTCATGCTTTTCATTTTTCAGTGTCATCACTTCTTAAACCACTAAATATACAACTTATACAACAAAATGGACAGGACTGGCTATCATATTTTCACCAAAAGTGCAATTTTAGCCTTTAAAATACACTGCATGGTACACGGCTTATTTAAACTAATTATGTTCCATCTTAAGATCATCATGTAACAGGAAAAGCAGAAATCATGACTCAAAATCTTTGCATTCCATTACACAGAAACACAAATTCCTATAATTCCCTTAAAAAAATGAAAATCCAACCAGGACTGAAGAAGTCAGTTGGAGTAAAAAGCTCTTGATGTTGCCAAATGCACTAGCTGTTTACTATGACTCTCAGAACAGCCTGACTTCAGGAATGAGAATTTCAGATGGACCTTGTGCTAAAGAAGAGTTGTCTTAGAATGTTATTTGTGTATTTATTCAAATGGAGTTTCATGAATAAAGCTAGTCTCTGTGACAGACCCTTGTTTTGTTTACTGTGTGGAGACGTGCTGGTATCGCGTTTGGTCTCGTTCTGTATCGCGTATCTTGTCAGTGTCTGCGCTTGCTTGGCCATTTGTTGTGGAGAAAATAAGGAAAGTGTGTCCAGCTGAATTAATTTAGTATTTTGGTAGACGGGTATAAAAAAAGCTTAGTGTACCGTGGCAGCCTCCTCGTGGGAAGACCGAAGAGTGTAAAGACCATCGACTCTACCGTGCGACTACACCGGGCAGGGACCCCGGCAAAGGATAAGTATCGCTTTTTATTTCTCCTCT